TTACAAGCAGGAGTCAAATCTTGAGCTTGGACAAGTGTGGAATTTGAATGAATTTGAATCATGTTTCATCACTGACTTATCGCAGAATCTTAAGATTGGCGTTCCGATGAGGTGCTGACGCTCACAGGGACTGACCATGACATGTGTGACCCAAATCAGGTTTTTGAAAGGACCATTCAGTCCCAATCTTGTTTGGAAGTGATGCGGGCTCCAAGGCCATGGGAGATGGTGCTTGGTTTCTTCCAAGGATTGTTGAATCCATTCACCAGCACACAGGAAAACATGTGCGACTTCATCAAGTTTGCACCTCGAGCCTAAGATGTCTTTGGTTGGAGACGTTGTCCAAATCCCAATTTGATTTGCTGAGCACTCCAGTTTTTTTCCAAGGAGACGTAACTCTACTTGACTCAAATCCTGGCAGGCTGTTAGGCCTCATGCTGCTGTTGATTAGATCCAGGTAGATCCCCAGCTACAACTTGCTTTACATATATAAGATTACATTTGATTATATAAGTTAAGTCTAGTACTGGCTGCCGGAGATCATCACAGTGATCTATGCAGCCTCCCAGTGTAGTTGTTTTCCGATCAACTGCTTTGAAGCATATGAAGTAAGTGCACCTGTCACCTAACTTACATCTCTTGTTTAGATTTATAATTGTGTATTCATGTATTGTTTTCTATAAAGGCAAGTTGCTTGAATCCTTGCGAATGCCTTTATGTTCAGCTCTCAAAAGAAACACTTTTATACAGAAACATGAGGAAGAAGAAGACGAAGAAGAAGAAGAAGAACATATGCACTGAACCACATTGAGACTTTTCAACTCTTGTAGAGATCCCTATTCACCGAGAATCGACCATTGCGGAAGAGGCCCCGGGGCCATGGCGTTAAGAAAAAGGACACTGTCCTAAAAGAAAAAGGACACCGTCATAAAGAGCCCAAAGCCACTGGTATAAGGATATATTCAGCACCCAGCTATACCAGAACCCTCATGGTTTTGAGTGTATTTTTTCTGCACTGGAAGTACCAGTCAGCAGCAATCAGAGTGGTGCAAGTTGCGCCGATGCCGATGGTGAATCGGCTATGTGGCTCCAGGCGCATGCAGCGCGGACAAGTGATAGGTAAACAGAATTCAACCAACTTCAATGTCATCAATGCACACTCACTGTCACTCGCACACTATATAAATCACTAACCCCTTTTTTACAAGCAACTTCGCACCTGTTGGCACAAGGGATTGTTGATCACTCAATGGTGCTTCGAGGATTTCATGTCACTGAATCCTTGCAGGCGCCTTGGCTCAGTGCGCTGGCACTCCTGTTGCCCTGCAGCTTTGGCACTCCGAACCAAGACCGGATCTTCAAATACAGGTCATACAGCTCCTCGCTTGCGATAGGATCAGGACACGACAATATTTTGAGGACAGATCAGCTTGGATACATCCAAAATGTAGATTATGATGATCACATCAGTTTGCTGATTACGCTGAGATTATGCTGACCTATCCGGACATCAAAGCCATGTTTGGCTTCGAGTAAGAACTTCCCTTGCTGAGGGGAAACCCACAGCTTCTTTGAGCAATTGCAAGAGAAGTATCCAAACCTGGTGGAGCTTTGGTATGCCCAGGAGAAAGATTTCCTTCAAGTATCTTGAAGTCACTGAACGTACTTATTTCCGAGTGTGTGTGTGTGCGTGTGTCCCCTCTGGAGTCACGAGGTTCCTTTTGGACTGTTTTGAATTTCCTTTTGCAGGGGAGTGCAGCATGATTGTGGGACCGCACTCAATGAAGCTACCACAATCATGGGATACCGAGTCTGATCAACTCGGCGTACCTGCAGTTTTACCTGAGAAACTTCATCGTGGGTCCTGCTTTTAGCCAGAACAAGACGTCCAGCCTTTGCATCGGTTCATCATCGGCAGATGTGCATTGTCGCTTTGGATTTGTCGATTTGGAGTTGGAGGCCATGCAGGCTTTGAAGTGGCTTGGAACACCGTTGTGAAAACGATGAAGCCAACATGGTCAATACATGACCGTTCATGTCCATGCACCAGTGCCTTTTCCCATCACTGGTTGCCAGGTGTGACTGTCCATGCAATGCATGGCTCAAGCGACCCGACTCGCGCGTGAAAAGCGTGCGTCCCTCCGGCCGCTGTCAGTTTCATACTGGCAGCGGAGCTGGATTTCGATCCGGCGACGCGACCCTTTGCTTTCGCCAGAGGTGCCATGGCGGCATTTCTGGAAGGGCTGCGCTATGACGCAGCCTCAGTGGCGACAGCCACCTCCATGGTGGCGGACGACATGACGGAATCGAAGTTCGGCGTCCCCCGCTTCAGCGGAGAGCCGAGTGCTCTCAATGAGTACACCTACCGGGTGAGGGCCCGGGTGCAGCGAGAATCTCACATGGATGCAGGTGAGATCAAAAAGCTCGGACCACTCGGTTTGAGGCTGGTCGAAGGCCTGAGAGGCCAAGCTTTGAAGATGGCCCAGCAGATCGAACCAGCGAAGCTTGCCTCGTCGGAAGCCCCAGAGATCCTGATCACCCTCTTCGAGAAGAACCTGAGGCCTCGACGAGAGCAAGAAGCTCGTGAACTGTACGCCATCGGCGCCCGTGATGGCGGAATGATGTCACGGCAACATGGTGAACCTGTTGCCAGCTACGTGCTCCGGCGCAAAACCTGGTGGCGCCAACTCCAGCAGCTCGACCCGAGCATGGCTGTGAGCGAAGGGATCCTCGCAGAACAGATCCTCCAGAATGCCGGCCTCAGCGAGGATTAGAAGCTGATGATTCGCACCACCTTGAGAGGCAAGATGGAAGTTGATTTGGTGGCAGATGAACTGCTCAACCAACATCCTCGACTTCACGAACGTGAACGGCTACCTCGACGGCATCCTGGCAGCTTCAAAGGATCTTGGAGACCCAAAGGCAAAGGCTTTCACCACAAGGCCTTCCACGTGGATGAAGAGCACTATGAGGAGCCTCAAGATTGGGAGACGACCTCTCAGTCCCTTGCAGGCTTCACTGAGGTCTTTGAAGAAGATGATGAGTGCTCCACCTACCTCAGCTATGAAGACTCGGATGGGTCTGATCTCCTGGCCGAGTGGACGGCCTACTTCATCGACGAAGGTCTGGACATGCAGAATGAGGAGGCCTGTGCATTGGCAGCCGAAGCCATCCAGCTGGAACACGAGGCCTACTTTGTCAGAGGCCAAGCAAAAGGCAAGGGCCACGGCGGCTTCAGTGGCTCTCGACAATTTGAAGTCTCTGGCTCACTGTCCTTGCAGGAGAAGCGTGCCCGCCTTCAGCAGCTCAAGAGCAAGACCGAGTGCCGCAAGTGTGGTCAACGAGGTCACTGGTCAGGTGACCCTCAATGCCCAAAAGGCACCGGCAAGGGCGATGGCAAGTCGAAGAAGAGCTTCTCCTCATCGACCACGGCATCCTCCGGCAAGCATGGCAAGAAGGGCTCCAAAGGTAGCGGACCACCGAAGACTCGGGTGGTCTACTTCGCCATGCACGATGGTCCTCAAGACTATGAGATTGTGAACGAAGACGTATGCCTCATGGCGGTCACCGGCGGCACTGGACCTGGAACGGGACCCAGTTCTTCAGAAGCGCCTTCATCGAGGACACCGTCTATGCAGTCTTCAGCACCAGCAGGTCAGCCTTCGCCTGCTCCACATGGCATCAATGCCGCACTCCATCAGATGCCACCCTCCATCATGGCATCGGTGCAGGATTCAATGGCCACTCAGGAGCTTGTTCAACAGCTATATCAACGCGGCTGGACAGCCGATCAGGTCCTGGACTTCATGCTCCACAACCCCGAGGACCTCTGTGTGATGTCTCCTGAAGGGATTCAGTTTGCCGGACAAGCTCCACGTCAGCCTGACCTCATGCATCCTACGGTCAGCCATGGACAACCAGTCCAGCAACCTCCACCTGCACAAGTACCACAGCCGATTGCATTGCCACTTCATGTACCACCAGTCCTTGTGAATCAGGTACTCAGCACCTTGATGGACATGGAGGTTGAGGAGGAGAACATCCCTGAAGAGCCAGCACCGGGCTCTACCAGCTCCAATGTCACATCCTCAGCACCGGCAACACCTCAGCAGCAGGCATGCACTCACGAGCGTGTCACCAAGAAGGGCAGCAACGGCTACTACCTCAAGGAGACATGCCTTGACTGCGGGCTACTCCTCAAGAATGAGAAGAAGATGATTGTTGGCAAGAATGCGCAACCAGTTGAGGGAGCTCCTGGATTCACCAACACTCCGTGCAATCACAACAGATGCACGTGGAGAGGCTCCAATGGTATCAACTGGCGCAACACCTGCCTTGACTGTGTGGCAAGGTCACTCGTGGCTCCTGGTCTGATCAGCACATCCCCAAGCCACCTCATCTACGAGTCAATGAAGAGACTTTTCTTCGTGGAGCCATTGGACAGCCTGTTCATGACAACAAGCAGTTCGACACCAAGTCTGTCCATGAGCTCTTGCGCTCTGCCCTCATGATCGCCAACATCAAGATGAAGGAAAACAATGGCGTCCTCAGCCTTGAAGAGATCCACCGGATCGTTGATGCAGTGTCCGTGAACCTGGACACCTTCAGCCCGGACTACACTCAGATGCCAACCATGCCTCAAATGCCGGCACCCTCAAGGACTTCAACGCCCAAGGCACCACCTCCAAGGGATCAGTCCGATGTGCTCTACTTCCACGGCACCAAGACCATCACCTTCGGCAAGCACAAAGGACACCCGTTCTGGTATGCCTGGCAGGATGAAAACTATGTTGAATGGGTCCTCCAAGAAGTGAATGAAGGTTCAAGCCGAGGCATGAAGGAAAGGCAGCTCAGGGCGAACCATGGACACCGCCACGGACACCACCGAGGGCACCTTCATCTTACCATGGATCTCCTGCGGCCTACATGGCCTATGATGATGATGATGATGATGATGATGAACAAGGACTACACGATTCAGGACACCATG